AATAAAGAAAGCTTTGTCCTTGCATTCGGTGAGTCGTCTCCTTGTTGTCGGGTTCTTTTGGGGTTCTGAAATCTGGGCACAACAATTGGGGCAATAAATGTCAATCAAAGACTGATGTACAGTGTAACCCTCTGTCACCTCCAGGAAATTGGAGTCGGGGTCCGCTCCAGGGCCCTCACACCAAGGAGCCCTAGATACACCGGTTTCTCACTCTATTCAGGTCCTACCCCAGAGAAACCCCTTTGTATCTAGGAACTTATCAGAGGTACCTCAGGAAGCACAGAACTGGACCTCTGCTCCTCCATGAGCCCAATACTCCTCAGATGGAACCCCAAGCTTTGGGCACAGGAGTCCAAGGCCCTTTACCACATGGCTCAATTGGATTGATTTTAGGAAGGAGTAGCACTCTACTTCAGGGAGTTAGGGTCATTCCTGGAGTGATTGATGAAGGTACTGAAGGAGAGAGCCAAATTATGGTGGGAGCTGACAAGGGAGTCACTATTACACCCCAAGGAGCTAGAATTGCTCAGTTAGTCCTGTCCCCTAAATTACAACTAATAACCCCTTCCTTAAACCTGTAAGAGCAAAGTCACCTAGTAAAAGTTCCCGTCAACTAACTTGGAAAGACGATGAGGGACACTCTGGTATATTTCAGCCCTTCATTTTGCCTCAGCCCTTCATTTTGCCTCATATCCTGATCATTCTTTGGGGGAGAGACACCCTAGAAACCATGGGGGCCATACTGGTCATGCCTCCTGTGCAGCACATGCTTAGTGAGCAAGGCTATTGCCCAAGCAAAGGGATTGGAAAGAATTTGCAGGGCGACCCCCTGCCCGTGCTGGATAAACCCTTGTTGCAGAGATACCCTGGAGACCAGACTGGACTGGGACATTTTTAATAGGGGCCATTGTTCCACAGCCTCGAATACCTCCAATTCCTATCCCCTGGAAAAATGATGAACACCGTTTGGGTAGAACAATGGCCCCTTCTAAAGTAAAGTTGGAGGCTGCTCATGCCCTGGGTCCAGGAACAAATCAATTCCGGTCATATTGTCCCTTCTACCTCTCCCTGAAATAATCCCATATTTGCTATTAAGAAAAAACCAGGGATGTGAGGGTGATCTGGCTGCGACACCTGTCACCCCATTGACTGCCAGGGTTGATTCAGCTGATCTGACTGGCTAGGTGGGTGTCCATGTCTAACCCTCCCGAAGCTGTGCTTTCGGTCGAAAAGGACGACCTTCCCCGAATAGAGGAGGACCAGTCTTCGGTCCAGGGTATACGAGTAGCTGCGCTCCCCTGCTAGAACCTCCAAACAAGCTCTTAAGAAAAAACCAAAAATCCGGTAAATGGAGGCTATTACAAGACCTGAGACAGGTTAATAGGACCATGATGCTCATGGGTGCCACTCAGCTAGGGTTTCCAACCCCTGTGGCCATCCCAAAAAACTGGCACTTGCTTGTGATAGATTTAAAGGATTGTTTTTTCACCATTCCTCTACACCCTGCTGATGGTCAGCACTTTGCTTTCAGTGTTCCATCTTTAAATTTAAGAGAGCCTTATAAGAGATATCAGTGGGTAGTTTTGCCTCAAGGCATGGCTAATAGCCCTACCATGTGTCAAGTTTATTTTTCTCAGGCTACAGAGCCAGTCAAACAAAAATATCCTCGATTGTATGTAATTCATTATATGGACGATTTATTGTATGCTGCACCAAAAGAAAAGCTGTTGTTATCTGTCTTTGGGGATCTTCAGACTGCCTTAGGATTGGCTGGCTTACAAATAGCACCATAGAAGGTACAAGAAGAGTTCCATATCATTATTTAGGACATCGCTTGCTTCATAATGGGGCATGCCCTCAAAAGATTAGTCTTCGGCTGGGAACCTTCAAACATTAAATGATTTTCAAAAGCTTCTGGGAGAGATCAATTGGATCAGACCTAGTTTAAAAATTACTACTGGGCAACTTAAACTTCTTTTTGATATATTACAAGGTGATTCAGATCCCAACTCTCCTCGAGTCCTTCCTATGACATCCATAAAAGTTTTTAAACTTTTATTAATTTGAATTTTTGGTCCTTCAGTTGCCTTACAAACTTTTGGTAAGGAGCCAGATCAGATTGTTACACCTTTGTCCCATCAACAGAGTGGCTACAAAATAATAGCTGTGATTGGGCCATTTTTCTCTCTGCCACCCAGAGTGATTTTGATAACCATTACCCTTCCAATAATCTAGTTTCTTTTTTTAAGATGCATGCTTTGATTTTCCCAATGATTATAGTCTCTCATCCTATTTCCAAGGGGCAAGTGGTTTTCACAGATGGTTCTTCAAAGGGTACAGCTGGAGTTGTATCTTATCCCATCAAGACAACCAGAATTGCTGCAGCTTCTGTCCAAATGGCCGAACTTTTAGCCTTGGCCATGGCTCTACAACTCTTCCCCATGGGGGCACTAAACATCTATACTGACAGTCAATACATTGCTCACATTATCCAACCCTTGGAGACGGCTGCCTATGTCGCCCCGTCTCCAGCTACAAGAGAGTTTGTTGCAGATACAGGGTCTGCTATGGCAACGAAGCAAACCTGTTATTTGCGGGACGTCTTAGGGCCCATACCCCTTTTCCAGGACCCCTCAGCGAAGGAAATCGCATGGCTGACAGGTATACTCAAAGCATTATCGTTTCACAAGAGCTCACTAGAGCACAATCCTTACATAAGCACTTTTATCTAAGTGAAGGGTCCTTACACTTTCATACTGGGATCACCAAAGAACAAGCTATTCAAATGGTTAGGGATTGATTGCCCTCTTTGTGTAGAATTTCTTCCTGTGCCTCACTTGGGAGTTACTCTCTGAGGACTTTTGCCCAATCACATGTGGCAGATGGATGTAACGCATGTGTCGTCCTTTGGGTAAATTACAATTTGTCCATGTTTCTGTAGATACTTTTTCCCATCTGATATTCGCCTCAGCCATTCTGGTGAAAAGGTGAAAGGTGTTAAAAGCCACTATCTACAGGCTTTTGCTTACATGGGGGTCCTGAAACAAATTAAGACTGATAATGACCCCACCTATGTCAGCAGAGGTTTCAATCACTTTGTTGATTTTGAAATTACCCCCAAAACTGATATTCCCCAAGGACAGGCTATTGTGGAACATGCCCATCGCACTCTGAAAGCCTATTTAGCTAAAGTAAAGAAGGGGGAGCTTGAGGGTCACCTTGGCTCCCCTCACTCTACTCTATCACTTATTCTCTATATCTTAAATTTTTAAATTGCGGATGCTTCTGGTAACTCCACAGCAGACCGTCATTGGCGGTCCTCTGCACAGTAAAAACCTCTGGTTAAATGGAAAAACCTTCCCTCAGGCCTTTGGAAAGGGCCTGATCAGGTTTAGGTGTGGGCCCCGGGGTCTGTTTGTGTCTTCCCACAGAATGGTGAGTCCCCAAATTGGGTTCTGGAGCATTGTGTGCGCCCTGTTCCTGCAGGTACGAATCAGCCATCAAAAGATCCATTGGGCTTTCATGAGAACCTACCTGTCCTTATGCCAGTGAGTCTTTGGGGTCAGGTATGACTGGTTATGTCAGCTCCAACCTCAGCCTGGGAAAGGCAGCCGTTAGAAAGGATTTAGAAGAAGCAAATTTACAATATCTCTCTTCTTAATGAAACCTCCTCATTTTTTTTTGTTTATATATAAAAGGGGAACATGTAGGGCCTTCCCCCCATAGGGATCTGCTGACCAGCTTGTGACTAGGAGCTTGTCTAGCAAGTGCTCCTTGTTTCCCTCCTTCTGATAAGGCCTGAATGCAAGTTCCTGTTATCCGCCCATCATTATTGCTGGCGGTACCTGGGAACGTGAACTTCTGACCTGGGTAGGTTTCCACCGTGCCTGTCGACTGCTATATAAGGCTTCCCTCCTTTTGTAATAAAGGGCATTTTCCTTGCATGAATGACCCGCAGCTTTGTCTTTATTTAATCATCAGGCCCCTTGCCAGAATCAGTGAGAAGTGTAGCACTGAGGCTTTCCTCAAAATTCGTCCAGGATTCCAACAGGTGGCTGAGACCATCCTCACCCTTCAGTCTTGCTATCCAGAATGTTGCTTCTATGTTAACCATCCGGGCATTGTAAAAGATAAGAATACCTTTCCATCCAAGCTGTGACACTCAGTATTCTTTGGCTCCCGATGCCATAATCCATCCTGGTCCAGCCCATCCGATCCGTCAAAATGCTTACACAGGGTGTCTTACCTGGTTCTGTTGCCTGCTCCCAGATGTCATCCTCATACTTGTGGATTTCTTGGTCACAGGCTCCATAGTTCTCTTTGGATTCAGGGAAGGAGGACCCCTGGTTCCTGATGCTATAGCAGGTTCTGGCACCTGAGAGCAGGGTTTCTCCTTAGCCAATGAGGGGTGCTATCTCATTGTGAGAGTTTCTGGAAAACAGTTCTGGAGAGGAAAGCCCATTGCACAGGCAGGCACAGCTGTAACACTCGTGCTGGGGCCTCTGCGCCTGGAGAGGGGAAGCAAGCAAGTACAGACGCCCATGGCAGTAGAGGACCATTGCTGGGCAGAGTGAAAATTGGGTTACCCTGCTTCCTCGGTGCCTTGAGCTACTGGAGATTGTGCAAGTGGGTGGAGGACCAGTCAAACAGAACTGTCCCCACGCTGGGGAACAGTTTTCACGCGGCAGTTTGGGAGGTTTCTAACACAATATGCCTTTTTGTGTCAATAGTGGCGTCCCTGGATTCCGAATGGCCCGACGTAAAGCGTGATGCCCGCTTGTGCCCTAGATGTGCCCTGGGCAAGGTCCTAAGGTCCTAGCGTCCAAATCTCTTAGTTACCTTGGCAACCGACACTTCCGGAATCCAGGAGACGCCGGAAATGACTGTCACGCTTCCGGTGCCTCCATTGTTGTGACTTCTTAGTGTCCTGGCCGTGTCGGGGCCGGTGAGCCGTCCGCATGAGGTCGCGACGGGGAGGGAGGGAGGGAGGTGCGGCCCGCACTCGGGGCGCGAGGCCGCCGGTGCCGGTGGTGCCGGTGCCGGTGCCGGTGCCTGTCCCGGGCGGAGTCGCCTCGTCGGCCTTCCGCGGTTGGCACCTGTGCGTCCGTCCGCGCTGCACGGGGCAGACCCGCCAGGTGAGCGGCGCCCCCTGAGCTCGCACTGGGGACGTGCGAGCCTCCTGCCTGCGGGAGCATTCCGGACAGTAAAGACAGAGGAGTGCCCTGTGCTTCACTGTGTGCTCTCAGAGAGTTTTCAAAAAACAAAAAGGCAGGCGCAGCCGGGCAGTTAGTATAAATTAACTCCTTTTCTCCCAGCACTTGCGAGGCAGAGGCAGGACAGCCAGGGCTACACACAGAATCCCAGTCTCGGAAAAACAAAAACACAAAACCAAACAATAAAAACCAGGCTCAGTGGAAAATGTTAAACCCTGGGGTCTCCAGGGCCTGGTATCTGGAAACAGCACACATCTTAGCTACCCGAGGAGCTGGTTTTCAAATGGCATGCATAGACGAGAAAACATTTTCCCCAAACGGTGTGGGCTAAGTTAACCCGTTCATTTATCTTATCTCTGACCCCGGGTGACACATACACACGTGTGCACGTCTGGAAGCCAGTCCTGCCTTTCCAGCCTCCCCGGAAAGTGGGGCCCACATCTGTGTAAACCGCAAAGAGTTGCATTAAGAGAAGTGATCCGGGGGGGTGGGGGGGGTGGAAAATGGTCCGAAGGGTTACTGAAGGGATACCAACGGTATGCCTGGCGGCGAGACCAGGAAGGCTTGAGTTAAGTAGAAAAGATCTCCAAAGTTTGTCTTCCATCTAGTCCCTCCCTTTCAGGCGGCCCACCAGCAGTTTGGAGGCCATGACTAGAGGGGTCAGCATAAGCCAGTTCAAGTATACTGTTACAGTGTGAGGTATAGCAAGGAAAACAAACCAGCTCTTTCCATCTGTGGCAACCAGGAAAACTGCCTCCAAAAGAAGTGGCAGATGAGCAAGAGTTTGTCAGAAATGAAGAAAGAGAAGGGGGAAGTCCAAACAGGGGAAGGCGTGTGTGTGCGTGTGTTCCTGTTTTGTAGAGTGGTAGCCCTAAACTTGTACATCTTTACTAGTTGAAGAGTTTTGAGCCTCCACTCCCAGCATAAATTTATTAAAAAATGAACGCTATATGCTATTTGAATTTCAGAATTATTAAATAGAAGTTAAGTAATTTAGTGTTTTCTTTAACATCCTATTTTCTTCATACCCTACATTGGAGATCGTTGTTGTCCTTTTAATTTGAGTGCTTGTGGAGAATGGTTGGATGTGTGTGTGAAAAGCTATGAATGCCTAGACGGATAGCTAGGTTTTATCCTATAGGTGACTAGAGCCACTAAAAGTTTGGGAAGGGAAGTCACTTGGAGTGACTGTACTCTTCTTTGGTTTTTAGCTGTAGAGTCTGTCACCAGCCAAGGGCTGAGTACCGAAGGTCTCTGATTGTTCTCTTTATGCTTCTGTAGGCGACACTTCTCACTTCCTGCCTTGACTCTGAAAAACAGCTCCTGCAATCTGAAGCAGAAACTCGATTTCAGTGTGCCCGCTGTAGCTGGAACTAGTCACAATGACGATGGAAGGCAAGGGAACTTTAGGTCTCATCCCCAGGATGGCTGTGTATCAGAAGCAGGCGGGGAGCTTGACTGTGAAGCAGGAACCAGGAAGCCAGACCTGGGGACAGAGCTGCAGTTTCCAGAAGAACTCCCCTCCTGTCTGTGAAATATTCCGGCTGCACTTCAGGCAGCTATGTTACCATGAGATGTCCGGGCCTCAGGAGGCACTGAGCCGGCTCCGGGAGCTATGCCGCTGGTGGCTGATGCCAGAGGTTCACACCAAGGAGCAGATCCTGGAGCTGCTGGTGCTGGAACAGTTCCTGAGCATCCTGCCCAGGGAGCTCCAGAAATGGGTCCAGCTCCGTCACCCCGAAACTGGTGAGGAGGCTGTGGCTGTGGTGGAGGATTTCCAGAGGCACCTCAGTGGGTCAGGAGAGGTAAGTGGTTGAGTCTACAATGCTATTGTAGACATCCTAGATGCTTCTAGAACCCTTCTCTAGACTTGGGCTAGTCTGGGAAGACGCAGTCTTCATTCCCCCCACTTTAGACTGGCTTGCTTTTAGGATTCCCAAAGGGGTGTGTGTGTGGGGGGCGGGGGGGGGGGGGGGGGGGGGGGGGGGGGGGGCTAGAGAACAACCTCAGGTGTTGGCCTATGAGCCTAGGGGATATGACTGTATATGCCTCTCCAGGGCTGGGATTACAAGCATGTGCTATCATGCCTGATGTTCACATTGGTTCTGGGAATCCCAACCTAGGTTGTCATGACTACATGGAAAGTACTGTGTTGACTTGAACATCTCCCCAGACCTGGTTGGTTCTTGTAAGTGCAAATGAAGGCTCTTCCCTACAGCAGCTGTGGGTGTGGGCAGAAGATCTACCGTAGTGACCTAACTTTATGATCACTGGCAGTTCAGTCCCTCGAAAGTTGTTGTGCTTTTCCCAGGACTCAGGCACATGGGTTTCCTTTCCTGCTACCCGCCACATGGACCATTCACAGGCAACAACCCTCATTAGAGACATTTCTCCTACTGCCTCTGCTTTCTTGCTTGAACATGGGTGTGTGTGGCCACCTTGGTTTTTGAGGCAGGTTTTGACCCAGAAATCAGTGGTTAGGCCAGGTGTCTTAGTTAGGGTTTCTGTTGCTGTGAAGAAACACCATGACTGTGACAACTTTTTTTTTTTTTTTTTTTTAAGATTTTATTTATTTATTATGTATACAACGTTCTGCTTCCATGCACACCAGAAGAGGGCACCAGATGTCATAACGGATGGTTGTGAGCCACCATGTGGTTGCTGGGAATTGAACTCAGAACCTCTGGAAGAGCAGTCAGTGCTCTTAACCTCTGAGCCATCCCTCCAGCCCCCTTTTTTTTTTTTTTGTGTTTTTGAGACAGGGTTTTTTTGGGTAGCTTTGGGGCCTTTCCTGGCACTCGCTCTGTAGACCAGGCTAGCCTCGAACTCACAGAGATCCGCCTGCCTCTGTCTCCTGAGTGCTGGGATTAAAGGTGTGTGCCACCAACGCCTGGCCCGTGACTAGTCTTATAAAAGAAAATATTTAATTTTAGTGACTCACTTACAGTTTCATAGGTTTAGTCCATTATTGTCATGGCAGAAAGCAAGGTAGAGTGCAGGCAGACATGGTGCTGGAGAAGGAGCTGAGGGTTCTTAGGTCTTGACTCACCAGCAACAGGAAGTGCTCTGAGACACTGGGTGTGACTTGAGCATATATGAGATCTCAAAGCCTGCGTCCACAATGACACACTTCATCCAACAAGGCCACACCCACTCCAGCAAAGCCACACCTCCTAATAGTGCCACTCTCCTTGAGGGCCATTTCATTTTAAACTACCACACTAGGTTCCTGGTCTATGAGCCCTAGGGAGTCTGAAGTAGGCCTAAGTAGGTCTAAGAAGGCCACTAGCTCTATGATTCTCAGAAGACAGGTTTTACAATGTGTCATAGTTCTTATATATGAACATATGTACACACATGCATAAAAATAGGTGGTTGTTGAGCAAAAACGATAGCTGAAGTTGTTTTCTCGATCCTGCACACTTGTGCATTTCCACCTGCACACACAGGTGCATGCCCACATATAGACACACAAAGGACTCTCCAGTGGGCGACTTGGAAACTGGTCTTCACTCAGGTACCCAGGCTTAGCAGTATTTACCACCTGGGCAATCTTGACAAGTTCACATAGTTAGTTCTTCTTAAGCAAATGTGTGCCCAAAGACCTGACACAGTGGAACTGGCCATAGATCTGTTCTTCGAGCTCCCAGCAGGAGGGTTCAGAGAGGGCTGACAGGGTAGTGCAGGAAAGATAGCCTGGTCCTTCATGTCCTTGGCTCTTTTCCTGTGTGAGGTGTCTTAGAGGTCTGGGTTCTCTACCTTCAAGAATGTATTTTTTAATACAGTTTTGTTTCCTTACCTCTAGGTTTTACCTCCAGAACAAAAAGCAGATATGCATTTAAAGAAGATGGAATCTCTGAGTGCAACAGAACAATCTCCTACCTCAACCTCCAGTCATGGCTCAGCCCCTGAAGCCTATGTGGATCCTCCGTTTGACCTAAGAGCACACCACCTCCCTCGTGGACACTGTGGTACTTGTCTCCCCAGTTCTATCCTCAAGTCATTCTTCCTTTCGCTCCCTGGAGTCAGTTTCTTTCATCAGCCCTACTTGTACCTCACTAAAATCCCACACTATCCATATAGCTGTCATCCTTCCCTAGTGGCTGTCTATTCTCTTGCCATACATGCCTTTATCAGTTTTCCTCAAACAAGCCATTGAAAACAGCGCTGGGGACTAGAGACATACAACATACTATGATTATTTTCAAGAGTTCTTATTTAGGTGGCAGGAGTCAGTCATATATCCATAAAAAAAAAAAAAAAAAAAAAAAAAAAAAAAAAAAAAACAACCCCAGAAGACACATTTGGTTGAATCGGGGCATGGTCGATCAAACCTGTCTAATACCTGGAAAGCTAAGAGAATTCCTGAGAGCTGAAGCCTATCCTGGACTACTTAGTAAGTTTTGGGCTAGCCTGTGCTTCAGATTAATACCGTGTGTCAAACAAAACCCAAAACACCAACTACCACAAACCAAAGATACACACGGATGGTATCTGTCCCCAGGCGCGATACTGGCGTTGTGAAAGGGGGTTATTGGATAAAGTGCATTGTGGGGTAGAATAGGATAGTATAGGTCACTGAACTAGCAAGAGATTTAACAGTTAAGAGGTAGAAGATGGAGTACAGTGGTCCATGCCGTTAGTCCCAGCACTAGGGAGGCAGAAGCAGGGACATCTCCCTGAGTTTGAAGCCAGCATGATTGACATAGCAAGCTCCAAGCCCGTCAGGGCTACATAGTGAAATCCTGTCTTAAAAAACAAAATGAAACATGGGGCCGGAGAGATGGCTCAGGGGTTAAGAGCACTGGCTGTTCTTCCAGAGGACTTGGGTCCAATTCCCAGCACCCACATGGCCACTCACAACTGTCTGTAACTGCAGTTCTAGGTGTTAGATTTTTGCTTAAATTAGAAATAAAGTAGGGCGCAAGATGAGACATGAGACTTAAGAGATACATTAACCAGTTTATTATAGGGCGGGAAATAGAACAGAGCAGGACAGACAGGAGGAGAGGCAGAGAGCGCGAAGCAGGGAAGACTGTGCACGCGCACTGAGGCTTCACGCATGTGGCAATGCCTGACGTGCTGTAGCAGGTCCCTGTGGCTGCCCGCCCACCATCAGGGGCATCCTAACACTAGGGGTTCTGACAGTCTCACACAGACATACATGTAGGCAAAACACCAAAGAACATAAAATAAATCATTGAAACAAAACAAAATAACAACAAAAAAATGAAAGAATAAAAACTGAACTCGAAGTTTCAATGAACACTGTCCTGCATACAGCTGTGTGACGGGTGAGTGAAAGAGCAGTGAGGACTGAGAAGTGAGCGTAGAGCCATGAAAGTAAGAGGCATCCGAGATGGAGCGAGAAAGAAGCACAGAGCTGGCAGGAGGCTGGCTGGAGACCTACTTTTCCAGGCCCAATTCCCAGCACCTATATGGCGACTCATCACCACCTGTAACTCCAGTTCCGTGGAACCCAACACCTTTTGGTCTCCACACCAAGCACAGAGGTGGTGCACAGATAAAACACCCAAACACGTAGAATAGATAAGATTTTTGCTGGGTATTGGTGGTGCACGCCTTTACTCCCAGCACTCGGGAGGCAGAGGCAGGTGGATCTCTGTGAGTTCGAGACCAGGCTCCAAGGCAATACAGAGAAACCTTTTCTCGAAAAACCAAAAAAAAAAAAAAAAAAAAGATTTTTTTCCCCCTCCATGTGTGTGTCCTTGTAAGGGTGCCATGTGGGTGCTGGGAATTGAACCCTGGTCCTCTAGAAGAACAGCCAGTGCTTCTAACCACTGAGCCATCCCTCCAGCACAGGATTTTTTTTTTTTTTTTTTTTTTTTTTTTTTTAGGGCAGGAGGGTAAATTAGTCTTGGAAGTGGTAAGGAAATGAAGACAGAGAAAATGTGGTCAGAAGTTGATCTTCAGTCAGGCTGGAGATGGTCCTGGAAGGAACCTCCACTTCTGTTTGAGCAAATAACATTCCCTGCACACCTAGGATGAGGTCTCTGGAGGAAGCTGACAGCTTCCCAGATGCTCGCAGATCCCATCTCCTTGGGCACGGGGACCTTAGGGAGCTGAAAGCTAGGGCTTGACACCTTGAGTTCACCTTTCACCCCAGGTCCCGCTTTTCCTGAAGCAGAGAATACCAGAGCCTGGGTCACTGTGGGGAACTCCACAGCAGCCGCTGTGCTTGGGATGGTCAGACCTCAGGTGAGTGTGGCTCTTTTTCTTGATTCCATGTCTGTCAGGGTGTGGGGGAGTGGAACTCACCTCCAGACTACCGGAAGCGGCTCCGGTGGCTCTCCTGCCCCTGGTTGCATTGGATTCCATTTAGCCCACTTTTGTTCTTTCTGATGTATCCACCCAGCTCACTACCCTTTGTTCTCTGTGACTGTCTGTACTCCTGAGGACTTTGCTCTTCTGAACAATAGAAGCTTGTCATTCCAGGAGATTATGGCAGATAATGACTATATGCGGAGAAAGTGGAAGAGCCTGGCATGCAGGCAGAAGGCCCTGTCCCAGAACACGATGGAGGAAAATGAGCACAGCTTGGCCTCACTAGGTAATGATTCTGCTCATCCCCAGTGGTAAGCAGACTGCCCTCTGTACATCATCTTCACTGTATCCTTTTGATTTGATTTGTTTTAACTTTTTACTATGAATATTTGCAAACATAAAGTAGATGTGTATGGTGAACCTACCTGTATCCATCACCCACTTTGACAGTGGTCATCGTTTTCTTTATTTAATGGCTGGTCAACAGTACGGAGCTACCTTGGAGTTTCTTAGCCATAAGTAAGAGTCCCTTGGGTTTTGGAAGTAAAGATCTTTGTGTTTGAGGTATTATAAGAATGGGGGCCCAGAACAAAGCAGTCAGATTAGGTGGTGGGAAATGGCAGTCTGGAAAACTCAGCAGTGTGAGCACATGAGTTTTACAGTACTGTTCCTGTGTGACCTGCTACGGGTGCTCTCTGGGTTCTGTGCTTTTCCTTCCACTAATCCTGATTGTGAAATCTGGAACCATAGCTGCTTCTCAGTTCTGTTTTCAGTCCCCCCCCCTCTCTCTTTTGAGACAGGGTTTCTGTGTGTATCTTTGGATCCTTTCCTGGAACTTGCTTTGTAAACCAGGCTAACCTTGAACTCACAGAGGTCTGCCTGCCTCTGCCTCCCTAATGCTAGGATCAAAGGCGAGCACCACTGCCAACTGGCCAGATTTAGATCTTACTCGTAATTCTGTCCTGTTTTGGGGTCAGAATTTTCCTAGAGTGGATTCTGACCAAGACAGTGTTTAGTCTCCTCCGTGTTTTGAAAGTCACTGGCACAGACTACAACAGATGTTGATGACAAGCTACAGATAAGCTAGACTTGGGTCTTTCTGGTATCTGGCCAGCTCCAATCACCTGTCACCCCTGTTGAGGTTAACCCATGTTGAGGGTTACTTGACCCAGAGTGTAGTTGTGTGAGATTCCCTCTGCAAAGCCTGAGACCCATCCTGTAATTAGCACACTCAGGACAGTAACCAATGTAACAGGAGGTGGACATGAAAGTTACTAACCTAAATACATTAAAGTTTCATTTGCTAAAGATGTGCTAGCCTTCGCCTCATTGCAACATGATTTAAAAGAAACAACATTTTGGTATTTGTTGATAACCATGAATGACTACTACACATTTCCCCAGATTTTGCATTTGAATCTCCAAAACTGCAGACCAGTGTTTAACTATTTAATATCTTTATTATTTTAGGGACATGCTTCTTTTAATTTTATACATATATAGAACTAGCTTTGCCTAGTCCCTAGCTCTGTGATCCCCTTCAACAGTGTTCTAACCCCATATACAAGTCCCATTGACATGTCACACAGCAGGTAAGTTTGAACTCTTGTCACAATGGAAATTCTCATCAGCTCACGGCCTTCTTTGCCTTCTTTCTTTCTTGCCAACCTTCCCTCCCTTCCTCTCCCAACTTCTCCACTCTCTCCACAGGTCTTACTATGTACCTCTGTCTAGCCTGGAACTCTGTGTAGACCAGACTGACCTTGATCTTACAGAGATCTACCTGCCTCCACCTCCCAAGAACTGAGATGCTGTGGTGGAGAGGAATCTAATTTAGCTGTTCACTAAGAAGAATCACAACGACTCTAGAAGACAACGAGACATTGTGTTACACAAGCTGTCTCTTACTTTCCAGTCTTTCTCCTACCTGGGCTGTACCAGCTCAAGTTCCTCCACCCTTGCCTTTCCTCCCTGTTCTCTTCTACGGGCCCCTGTCCCTCTGTGTTTGAATACCCCTGATGAGGAAAGGGAACTATTTTCTCTCTACTTCTCAATATGTTGTCTCATTCCTTCATGATAATATGACCTGTTTTTCAGCTACAAAGCAAAAAAAAAAAAAATAGTAAAAATTGTTTTCTTCTTTCTTTTAGCAGCAGGTAAGAACAGGATGGAAAGTTCTGTGTGCACATCAAAACATGGCTTTTCTAAAGGGTCGGATTCACCTGACACATCCTCAGGGGGACTCTTTGGTGTGGCCTTGGTAGAACCAGAGTCTGGAGCTATCTGTGAAGGTCCTTTGGCACAGGTGGAAGAGCAGCCTTCAGATGAAGGGCGTGAACGAGATTGTCATTTCTTGGAAGAGAAAGATCAGGAAAATTCCACCAAAGACAGAGACGAGGAGTGTAGAGATGTAGGGGAACATGGAAATCTTTCGTCTCATTCTGTTGAGAGTCAGCGAGAGGCAGAGAGACAAACGTTCTATCGATGTGATGAATGTGACAAAGTTTTTAACCAGAGCTCACACCTCTATGGACATCAGCGAATCCACAATGGAGAGAGACCCCAAGAATGTAGTGAGTGTGGGAAGACCTTCCGACAGACATCTCAGCTAATTGTTCACCTCAGAGCACACACGGCGGGAAAACCTGATGAATGTAGTGCGTGTGGAAAGATTTATCTTCACAGTTCCCATCTTAAGCAGCACCAGAGACTGCACAATGGGGAGAGGTCTTATAAATGTAATGAATGGGCAAAAGCCTTCCCCCAGAGTTCCCCGCCCATTGACCACAAGAGAACCCATACTGGGGAGAAGTGTTATGAGAATGAGTGTGGGGAGGCCTTCATTCAGAGTAAAAGTCTTATCCAGCATCAGGTCCTTCACGGTGGAAAGAAGACCTACGAGTGTAACAAGTGTGGGAAAGCCTTCTGTTCCGGCAGGAATCTTATTGACCACCAGAGGATCCACACTGGGGAGAAGCCTTATGGATGTATTGAGTGTGGCAAGGCCTTCAGTCGGAGTAAATGTCTTACTCGACACCAGAGTCTCCACACTGGGGAAAAACCATACAGATGTAGTGAATGTGGGAAAGCCTTCAATCAGAACTCTCAGCTCATTGACCATGAGCGAGTTCATACTGGAGAAAAACCTTTTGAATGCCGTCAGTGTGGCAAGAGATTCAGTTTAAGTAAATGCCTTATTCGGCACCAGAGACTTCACACCGGGGAAAAGCCCTATAAATGCAGCGAGTGTGGGAAATCCTTCAACCAAAACTCTCACCTCATTATACACCAGAGAATTCACACTGGTGAGAAGCCTTACGAATGCCATGAGTGTGGGAAAGTCTTCAGTTACAGTTCCAGCCTGATGGTTCATCAAAGAACCCACACTGGTGAGAAGCCCTATAAGTGTAAGGACTGCATGAAAGCCTTCAGTGACAGTTCACAGCTCACTGTGCACCAGAGGGTTCACACTGGGGAGAAGCCTTATGGATGTATTGAGTGTGGGAAAGCTTTCAGTCAGCGTTCCACTTTTAATCACCATCAGCGAACTCACAGTGTGGAGAAACCCTCAAGGCTGCTTCAGACACCATCTTAAGGCATGGTGCCCTAAGGCAGAGAGCAAGGAATTCTGAGTTGGTTTTGTTTATAAAAAGGGATATTTATCATATTCTCTTGGAAGTATTAATCAAATGACCATTGCTTAGTGCTTTCCATTTGGCCACCAAGGTAGGACAGTAATAATAACTTAGTGTATAGTCTTTCCTTCCTTACGATTGGAAAAGTAGGAACCACATATTTTATTTGTTTCTAGCTTTTTATTTTTTAAACTATCTTAAAACATATTTCCTTTTTTTAGTTTTGCATTCCACAATTTGTGGATTTTCAAACACAGAGATAGCATCTCTGCTTCATTCTAACTTTTCCATTTCACCATTTACTCAAAGACATACTACAATACTCTCCTCATTCTTACTTTGTGGCTCTAGCTCTCTTCATTGTGTATGGATGTTTTACCTACATCTATATCTGTGTACCACATAGGTGTCCAGTGCCTCAGAGGCCAGAATAGGTCATCAGGCCCCCTGGAACTGAAGTTACAGATAGTTGTCAGCCATCACGGGGATGATGGGATCAAACCTGAGTCCTTTGGCAAAGCAGCTGGTGCTCTAACCACTGCGCCATTTCTCCGGCCTTCACATTTGCTTATTTGAATTAGTCCAGTGTATAGCTTCTTATCATTTAAGTGCCCTCCTAGGTTTTCCCCTTTTACTTGTTAGTTTACATGCATTTGTGTATGATTGTGAGTGCAGTGGTTTTAGAGGACAGAAGAGGGCCTCGGTCCCTTAGAACTGGTGACCCTGAGGTAACTGACTTGGGTGCTGGGGATTGAACTTGGGTCCTCTGCAAGAACAGTATATATTCTTACCCACTGAGCCATCTCTCCAGCCCCAGAACTTTTTGTTTCTTACATGCTTTCCCTCCTAAACTTCTGTCAATCTGATCTCAACATGCTTTGAGTTAGTTGGTGCTATGTAGTATAACTGTTAAATTTCCTTGTAAGTATTTATATGCTTTCATACTAACATGTAGGCTCTATATTTTTTCATATTATTGAATTATATTAATTGCTAAATAAATAATTTTTAGAATCTCCCTCAAATAATCCTTAAATTATAAACCAACTCCCCTCTCCCTAAGCTCTTAAGATTGGGGAGTGCACCTCCAGTGTCACACAGTATACTCATACTATATCATAACTACTAGTTTATTGTCCTTAAAACAGCTAATTGTGTGGGAGAGTGAGAAACAAACGGAGCCCATTCAGTTGTGCAGTCATGTACCCCTGAAATGTGCATTGTGCCGTACAAGGACTTGCTAGCTCCATTCTGGCTCTCCAGTGAGCAGGTTGGGATAGATCACAGAAAACTACAAAGACCTGTTGACATCCATGACTGTCCTGGGGTCACTGACGTACACTGCCATGCATTTCTGTGTGTGCTGGAGATCTGAACTCAGGTCCTCAAGCTCATGTGGCAAATACGTTGCCTACTGCATCATCTCTCCAGGCCTATTCTGCACACATTTCTGGAAAATACTCTTGAAGAAAATGTAGGGAAGCTTTCTGTTCTAACAAACAGTTATGGCCCCTCCAGGCACCATAATGTAGAAAAGGGGTCTTCATCTGGGTGTGGTGGAACATGCCTGTACTCCTAACACGTGGGAAGCAGAAACAGATCTTTATGAGTTCAGGGTCAGCTTGAATTACATAGCAAGTTCCAGGCCAGCCATGTTGAATCACTGTCTTCAAAGAGGAGGAGGAAGGATATGAACAAAACAATTTGATAGAACTTCTACTTTACTTAGGCATTCTTTCAAGTTTACATTTCATGTATGTGTCCTCATGGGGGTTACAGGGCAACTTGTGGGAGTTGGTTCTCTCCACTCAGTAAACTCCATAGCTCAAAGTCAGAAGTCAGGTTGTCTGCTGAGCCATTCCACCCATCTTGAGTTTCATTTCTCTCCATCTCTCTGTCTCTGTGTGTGTGTGTGTGTGTGTGTGTGTGTGTGTGTGTGTGTGTGTGTGTGTGCGCGCGCGCGCGCGCGCGCGCGGCGTGTACGCGCGTGTGTGATCAAAGAACAACTTTGTAGAGTGGTTTTCTCCTTCCACCTTTTGTGAGTTCCAGGACTTGAACTCAGGTCACCAGGCTTGCTTGGAAAGCACTTTACCCTCTGAGCCATCTTGTTGGCCCCCATATTAGTTACTTTTCTGTTGCTGTGGTGACAACACACATTCAATCCCAGCACTGGGGAGGCAGAGGCAGAGGCAGGCAGATCTCTATCAGTTTAAGGCCAGCCTGGTCTACAAAGAACTAGTTCTAGGACAGCCAGAGCTACACAAACAATCCCTATCTTTAAAAAAAAAAAAAAAGAAAGGAAAGGAAAAGAGTTAGGCAATGGGGCTGCAGCACAAAGCTGCATGATTACATTTTATACACAAAGCAGAAAGAACATGAAATGGAGTGAAGCTGTAAATGTTCACAGTCCCCAGTAAAGCTCCGCCTCCTGAAGGTCCTATAGCTTTCCCAAACAGCACCACCAACTGGGGACAAAATGATCTCAGTCACCACAGTCCCCAACCAATTTACACCCCCCCTCCTTTTTGTTTTTTTGGTTTTTTTTTTTTGGTTTTTCGAGACAGGGTTTCTCTGTGAAACAGTCCTGGCTGTCCTAGAACTCACTCTGTAGACCAGGCTGGTTTCAAACTCACATAGATTTGCCTTTCTTTGCCTTGCCCCAATTTACTTTAAATCAGAATTCAAAAATGGGAAATAGTTCTGGTGGTCAAACATGATGGTAAAGGTAGGAGGTATACAGTGAACCATTTGCCTCTGATATGTGGAAACAACACACGTGGCTATATTCTGCAACACAGTAAGGAAAGTCATGTAGTTATAATTTACTTTTGTTTGTATGGATGTTTTGCCTGCATGTATGTCTGTGCACCACGAGTGTGTTTGGTGCCTTCGAAGGCCAGAAGAGGATGCCAGATCTCCAAGAACAAAGTAATAGATGGTTTTGGACCACCATGCACTTTTTACCTGCCAAGTCTTCTCGAAGAGCAGCCAGTGCTCTTAACTGCTAAGCCATGTCTCTAGTTCCATGTATTATTATTATTATTATTACCACTATTATGATGTTGATGATGGTTCTTGGTTTGTTTCTTTTGGGGTTTTTGTTTGGTTTGGGATATTTTTGTTGTTTTAAGACAGGGTCTCACTTTCTAACTCTGGCTACCCTGGAATTCACAATATAGACTAGGTTAACCTGCCTCTGCCTCCCAAATGCTGAAATACAGGTGTTTGACAACAAGCCTGACACAAACCATGAGATTTTAAATGCTGGCCTATGTGGAGGCTAGAGAAATGCCTTGGTGGTCACAGGCTCACACTGCCAAGGCAGCCGTCCCAAGTTCTGTTCCCAGAACCCACAGCAGTTAGCTCACAACCCAACCACCTGTCACTCCATCTCCAAGAGATCAATGCCCGCTTCTGGTCTCCTGAATTCACATGCACTCAACTACACACACACACACACACACACACACACACACACACACACACACACACTTTGTCTAGAAGTTAACTTAAGCTGGGTGTGGTGCATGCATGCATTGAATCCCAGCACTCAGGAGACAGACGCAGTCAGATTTCTGTGAGTTCCAGGCCAGCCTGGTGAAACACAGTGAGTTGCAGGACAGCCAGGACTATGTAGAGAGACCCTGTCTCAGCGCCACCTCCCACCAAAAAGTATTAGAAAGGGTGTGTTCATGAAAAGTTATAACGATTAGGAATAAATTTCAGATTCATTAATTGTTAATAGCCGTACAGTGGCTCTATCAAACAGAACATACCGTATCCCTCTTATGTCATGCTCTGTCCTGAAGGATCCCTGTAGAAGCATTTACTCCATCTGGTAAAGGAAGGGTGTTGTCACTATGCCCAATGGCTCCAGAGCACCTCCTTGTTTAGTGCTCAGTCCATGAAGGAATATTGTAGATTTATTCTTCACTGGACCAAACCAATCCTCCCACTAACACATGCATAGATAGGGCTACTTTACAGGAGGATCAGCAGAGTGTGGGACAGATCATCTTTCAAGGCATACAGATGTTTTGCTCCAAAACACAGTAGACAACAAATGTATAGCGGTCCATTTCTGTTTCTCTGCTGTGGGTATTCCTGAAATGATGCCAAATGACTACAATCACACAGTTTCCCTCCTTGGTAACGAATCCTATGGACTTAAAACATTTTTAGGAATGAATGTATAGCTGGTATTGTTAGACCCCCTGGAAAACTCAGGCCTCCGGGGTCTCAGCCCATTATTGTGGTCACCCCAATCACCAGGCAGATTTGAAAGCTTGATGCAAACAGACCTGAAAACAAAACCGAAAAGCAGGTGGTGAGGATGTGGACTGCAACACACCAGATAACACAGATAACAAACTTGTTCAGTTAACCAGCCCATTCCAACCCTCCAGGCATTACAGAAACAAAGACTGGAAAAGAAAGTTACCTAGTGTGGCACCACATGACTCAACGAAAGGGGGTGTCGTGGTGGATGCTGAATTGAAAACCAACGACGAAAACACAGAGACAGAATAGACAGAAAAGAACAGACACCAACCCAATCCGTCTGTGCCGCTTATAAGGCAATGGCGCCAGGAAGACGGGCAGCAGAACCATGTGGCTACAATCGCTGCTAACTGAGGAGGTTCCAAGTGTCCTACCTCCTGGGTGTCCTCAGGGCAGCAGTCTGTGGTACTCCGGGCACATCTGCCAATCACAGTTGAGGTGGAATCCGGGAATGGGGGTGGTTAGTATGGAGACAGACACAAACAGCAAAAATAGAAGGACAGACACAATGGACAGGACAAACTACGCAGCAGACCAAATAACAGACACAGACATGGCACCAAACCAAAATTACAAACAACCCTTGGACTTTCGTCCAGGGCGGAACCAAGGGTCCTAGAAATACATCTTTTTCCCCCTGAGGTCCAAATTACCAAATACAAGTCCTGCGCAGGCACAGATCAAATTCAAGTCATGGCACCAAATCAACAAAACAGCAAGAGACATCAAACATGGACATAACATTGAACATTTAAGTTGCAAGCTTGAATCATCTTACCTCCAAGATCGAATCCACTCAGGTGAGGGGTGGTCGCAAATCCAGGACGAGCCCCCCATATGTTAGACCCCCCAGAAAACTCAGGCCTCCGGGGTCTCAGCCCAGGACCGTGGTCTCCCCAATCACCAGGCAGATTGGAAAGCTTGATGCAAACAGCATGAGGCTTTATTGTTGTTTAACCAGCTAACCCCATGTTAGCTAGGTTCTTTCACCCACCTGCCATGGTGGATGGCTAGCAAAGACAGTTTGAACCGGCTGCATAGAGATCTTGTAGGGCAGTGTAAGGGGAGTGTCTAGGGGTACACACAGGCTCAGGATTGGTGTGCCTCCAGGCTTGGAGGGCTTGCCCTGT